CGCGAGGTAAAGTTGCACATTTTTCCGACCGTTCGGCGCCACGCCTCGAAAATTACAATGGATTGGCGTGGTCGAGCAACTGAACGCGTCGTAAAATGACAAATTTTGGCGGACACGAGCAACCCTTCCCAAGCATGATCGGTTCCTCTTTTTCTCCTTCCAGCATCGGCGAGGTCGTTGTTGCTCCGTGCTCTCTGCAGTGGAGTTAAAAACCAAAGCCACCTGAAAGAAAAGCTGAGGCACCACAGGAGCTGAAGAGCTCAGGTGGTGCCAGCAGCACCAGTACTGACCATGTCTTCCATGCCAGCGCAAGAAAGAAGAAGGACCAGCCAGACAAACTACCATACCTTCCCCGCTCCAGCTAATTGCTCTTTTGGTCAGCAAGCAGATAGTACCACGCCTGCCGAGGGATACCAGCCCGAGTAAAAGCAGCCGCCTGCTTAAGTAGGGCCGGAAAAGAAGCCGCCATGCTCTGCAAGAAGTCACGTTGGTCGTCTGTAAGGGAGGGCAAATAAGTATTTGCCTCAACTTCTTGCAGGTAGATTTCCATAACCCGCATGCTCATCCAAGGGCCACGACGGCGTACCAGATCAGGATTCTCAGTGCAATGCAGCATCCAGGTTGCGCCGCCCGGGCGAAACGATGATAAATCAAAGTGGGCTGATCCATCCGAGCTTGTGAGGCCAAAGCGGGCCTGCAGTAACTTAAAGCGTCGGAGGGTAGCCGACTCAGCTGAACACAGCTGACCCTCCTAGCCGCAGCAGACCGCTGGAAACCCCTGGAGGCTTGCTTCTTTCCTCGTGCCTCCCACCTGAGGCCTTGCGCGGCTTGGGGGAGCTTCGCTTTCGCCGCGCCTTTGCCTCTTGGGCTCGCCTCGTCCTTGTGGCTGTGCTCTCTAGGGGCCCGCCTTCACAACTTCTGTGCGATGTTCTCGCTGGCCGGCATGCTGCTCTCCCTGAGCCCTACGTCCCCGACTGCCACCGGGACTTTGATGCCTGTCTTCGCTTCCCTGGTGAGGAAGAGCCAACCCCTCACCAGGGAAGCCAAGGGAGGAGTCGAAAGCCGGGCGTAGGAGGGGGTCAGCAGGAAGGAACGAGGCAGCGAAAGTCCAAATCCAAAGGCAGGTGTGATGAAGAGTGCTGTGGCAAAGGAGAAGCAAAAGGAGGCCAACAGGAAGAGGCCAAAGGGTCTGTGCTCGAGCCCCACAGTGGGCGAGCTGCGACTGGGAGAAAAAGAAAGGTGAGGCGCCAGCAAAGTTGGAAACAAGGCAGGCGACAACTGAGTCAAGCAGTGTTGTGACGCGAGAGTCAGGGGCCTCACGGGCGACTCGCCTAAGCAGAGCCCCAAAGGCCGAGAGCTCAAGAACATTTATGTGGTGGTGACCCTTCCAGCGGAGGACCGTCTCGACGGACCAGGTGGCCGCATACAG